CAAATCCGACATACGGAAGATGGCACTATCCTGTTGAAACCAAGAAAATATTTCAAGCACAGATTATTTAAACAGCTAGAAATATTTTTCTCTGGAGGAACACAGTACAAGATAATTTGTCTATTATATCACATAATGTAATTTCACATTACTAAATTGGACACTGATATGAAAATAAATCCTAATTTTTTTTATTTCTTACATAGTCCAGTGATTTGGGTAATAAATATAGGACTTGGAACAATTGATTCCAGATTAACAGGTCTGAAAAATATTTTGGTCTATAATCTTGTTTATACCTAGATAATATAATACATCTAAAATCTAAATCTTCCTTCTTTTATTTCCTGTGCTGGGTTATCATAGTAGGATTTCTGGCAACAGACTCTGGACTTACATACTGAAGGAATCAAAATTAATATATCATTTCATCTATTTTATCCACTATTTCTGTATATTCAGATGTTTATACTTATTCATCCAAAACAAAAATCTTCTTTCTATAGACTCCTATCTTACCTGGGTTATTATGGTAGGATTTCTGGCAACGGATTCAGGACTCTGACAGACTTGAGACGAAGAAGACATCCTTGACGCAGACCTCATCAGGCCTCGTTGTTTTCGCATGTGTCGCATTGAAGTTGTGCTTCCTGTAACAGCATTCAAGCGTTATGATATGGTATATCAGACAAATTGAATATAGTTAAAGTACTTGCTTGGAAAAGAAAGATCATTATTTCAATCTTAAAACACATTTCTGTATAACCACTGAACCAAGAAGTATATGAATGTTTATGATGATAAACTACTGGTTAAAGATTTCAAAATATCAATGCATCAGATTTGAAGATTTTGTTTACTTTCTCCATGCATCAGATTAGTTTTTTGTCTATCCTAGAAAGATAACCTTACATGAACTAAGCTTATAGCAAACAACTAGGAAAAGAAAACACTTGTCTACTATTTCATATATCTTTAAAAAATAATAATTTCAATAATAGCTGAGCACATAATTTTTTTTACTATATGTACTTCACAAGTTATCTGATTTATATTCTGATATCAAGACAATCATGAAAGCCTGACTTAAATGCATGCCACGAAAACCTAAAATACTTAATACATCACAATCAATTCACATAATCATTTCCATTGTTTCTCATGAAGCCAATCTAAAATCACAGTGTTTCAATATTAGAAATAGAGTACCTTAAAATATGAAAATAAAGTCACAGTATCAAATTTTGTGTGAAACATCTTTTTTAAATACTGAAGTGGATCTGTGATATTTTTTCTTTCTTTTATTTAAAAAGAAAAATCAATATACATGTTCTCTCTTTCTTCTTTCTTTCTTCCACTTTCTTCTATCAATCATTCTGACATTCCCTTCCAATATTTCTTTTCCTTAAATTCCCAAAATATAGAATTAGTACACTATTTCATGGAACTCATCTCCATAATACAAAATATTTCACTGAAACATACCTATCCTAAAGGACAAATTTGCTGTAATTTGGATTTCTATTTTTTCCAAGACCTGGTTCTTCCTTTTCATATTTCAAGATAAAGGATATTCTGCCAAGAGAGTTATATGCTTCCAAAGTATGTGGACATTGCCTAATACATTGTTAAATGGAGTTCCCATTGCTGGATGACTTGAAGAAGGAAATAGTATTATGTTTTCACATGTCACAACTGAATATAGACCTTCTGAATACTATCCTCAATACTATACTGAATACTATACCTGTATATTAGTAACTTAAGCACTCCTAAATTCTCAAATGAGTGGTAAATACTATACTACTATCAGTCTATTTTCCACTAGATGTTATATATAAATCTTCAAACTTTGGGGAAAAAATCCTACCATCAGACATTCTTTTTCTTATACCTCCTTCATATCTTCTATCTCCTGGAACATGTGTATTTAAATCTTTATCTCTAAAAAAATAAGTGAGCTTAAATTATCTAAATCTTTGGGAAAGCAAACAGAAATACAACAAAAAAGCAGACATGCTGAAATACAAAAGTGATAATATTAGATATTTGCAAAATAAAATATTGTGAAAAATAATTAACATAAATATCTGTAATGAAAAGGAAAAAACAAAAGGAAAATGTTTCCCTCTTCATCATCTTCATACCCAATTCATCAATTGATGTACAGAATCCTCTTCTTTATACTTTTCACCTTCCAAATTAATGTCAAACCTTTATTTTCCCCCCGATCCATCCGTCTCTTCTGTGCATATTAATCTTAAGAAATAGTCCCTAGTCATATCCACACATATGTCTCAATGTCCGCACCTTCTCACACAAAAATTCTCAGTTATTTTACCATAGCTCTGGTTTAGTGTACTTAGTTGTTTTTTTTTTTAAGAAATTTATGTTTTCATATAACAAATGGCTAACATACCAAGAGGTTTGCTGCTCCTTCTCCTCACATTTTCGTGACTCCCAGATCTCACTTTTTGCATCAACATGGACAGCATGGATG